GGGGGTTGGGAGTGGGCAAGACCCTCTGGCCAAGCAGCACGCCAATTTTTGGGGCAGGAGGAGGAACATCAGCCTTTCATTTGACTCAGGAAACAGCTTTCCCGCCATCCTGACCACATCGAGCTCAGATGATGATTCTCAGCCACCGGCATCCTTTCTAGCAAGGAGCATGGGACAGGCTCTGCCTTGGCCAAGAGTGACAGCAATAAGGTTAATTTGGGGACACCCCCCCCTCTCATAAACACTATTTTTTTTGCCAGCCAATGAGCAGCATTGCACCGATCCCCAGAGCAAAAAAAAAAAAACAACAACCAAACCCAAAACTGATAAAACAGCTCATTAAATTGAAATTAGACTGTTAATAGGAGAGAAGGGTCATGGAGGAGATGGGAGCCTGGTGGGGATGCCCAGCACATCGCCCACCCCGCAGGTCGCATCCTGCCCACTGGCACTCACCTGTCAGCAGCCCAGACCTCACGCAGGATTTCCGTCTGCAGCGGCATGGCTCCAGCCCGGTGTCGAGCAGGATGGCTCCCTCTGTCCTGCCCCTACCTCCTTCCCTCCTCCCTGGCACTAGCCGCTGACACCCCCCTGCCCCGGAGCTGCAGCCCCTACCAGCCCAGGGCTGGACCCATGGGCTCAGCCGCGGCAGCAGCACTCCAAGCAGCCTCACAGCATCAGCTCAGCTGCCTCCGTGAGCCCCTGCTGCAGGAGGAGGAGGAAGAGAAGCTGAAGGAGATGATTAACTTTTTATTTCTTCTAAAACTCGGTAATAGGATTTCAGGAGCTTCCGGCCAGGCTTGCTGGGAGAGCAGCTGGCAGGGTGGTAATCCCTGGAAAAGGGGGCCTCCTGGGAGTGCAGGGGGGGCACAGGGTGCCAGTCAGACCCTGAGTGTCTTTTGGGGGTGCATGGCTACCCCCACACTGGGTGGGGTCCCTGGCATGGTGGGGCTACTTGCTCCAACCTGGCGTGGGCAGACGGATGCTGCCTGTCCTTGTTTAGAGCCACCCTCCCTGGATGTGCCTAAAAAAATGTCATCTCAGCTACACAAACATGGGATTTGGGCTGTTTTGCACGAGCTGTGCAGGGGAAGGCAGCAGCCCTGGCTCCGGGTGATGCTAAGGGCTTCCCTACAGACCACCACCCTGCTCTGAGCCCATCCCATGTCTCCAGGACCCTATGGGTGACAGGTTTCACACCCTGCACATGACGGTTTCTGCCTTGCCTTGCTGTTAACAGCACTTTACTATTTAGCTGTTGATATTCCCCTCCTGAAGCTGCCTGCAGATGCTCTCCGGTTGCAAAGCTGGATGAGCCAAGCGACCCCAGTGACCCCACCGGACCCTCGGTCTTGCTCAGCCCACCACAGACACCCCCAAAACCCCCTGTCGCCCCATTTCCCACCCCCTGCCCAGTACCACTAGATGGCATTTGAACACTGCGCACCCAGGACCTGCCAGCACCGTGAAGGTTTCAACGCCTTTGGTACAAAATCCTCCTGGTTTCCCTTCAATCTCTAAACCACGTCTCATCACCTCCCCGAGTTTAATCTGTCTTCCAAGGGGGGAGAGAAGCACCAAACCGAAATAAGCCAAAAATCTGCTTTAAAATAGTGGAAAAGCCCAGAAACTGCAAAGCAAGTTGTTTTTTTTTGCTGGAGAGCAAGCGGGGTTGTTTCCTATGGAAAATGTGGCTTGGGCTGCCCCCAAATGACTTTTTCTCCCTGCCTGCAACAAAAAAAGTCAAATCTTCACAGAGCCCCTGGGTCTCACAGCACCCTCCCCAGGCAGCACCCACTGGGATGCTTTGCTGGCTACGGGACACT